CGATAAGAAACTTGGCAAAAAGAAATTGCATAATTCAGTTGAGGCTACTTTTAAGACACATATAGATATTGTGGGGCGGGGCGGGGCGTGGACGTTGCTGCCACAAAAGAAGCGACAGCACAAACCAATCAATGCGGGCGAAAAGCAGAAGAAAAACCAGAGCTAGACAAATAGAAAGTTCCGTTTGAGAATAGGTAAAAAAAAAAAGAGAAAAAGTTGCAGTACATTTGATTAGCAATACCTGCAGTTTGCTTGGCCCGTCGCTTTTGTATACCCTGTTCGCAGAGTGAACTTGGGTTATATAGGCAGAACATGAGATCATATAATATATAGAATAGCCAGAGGCTTTGAACTTGACATATATCTAAGCCATACGCAGAATATTTTATCACTTTTTTCCATATTTACTATTTTAACATGTTCGATAAATATCGATTATCGTTTTTATAAACTCTAGAATTACTTACACCAGCTCTATATAGGAAATTTATTACCTAAACTCTCGTATAGTATATACAGACTGAGAATATTTCACTTAGTGTGCCTCCTCCCATTCTAATGTACAATATTTGCTGTCGATACATTTCGATGAATATCGATTCAGCGACATGGCATTAAAGCTATGTGCAGCATGTATGGAAGTTCTCATATTATATATACAGACTGAGAATATTTCACTTTTAGACTGCCTCCTCCCACGCTCATTTTCGATAGTTGTTATCGATTTCCAGACATTGTTTTATATAACTCAAGTGCTATAATTATAGAAGCTGTATACAGCTGAAGTGCTATATAGGTCCTCGTATGGTAAGTATATACAGACTGAGACTATTTTTTGGATACCTCTTTCAATTCCCCTTTGAAACTGATAAAAACTGAAGTCTTAAAGCATTGGAATATTGCCTTAGGGAAGGGGAAGACTGTTTATGACACTTTAAACAGGGTAGCCTGCAGTTGACACTGGCTTCGCCCCTTCTTTTTGTGGCCATTGCATATAAATACATAATGAGATTTAAAATGCGACTGTGACAGTTGACACACAATAAGCACCAGCTCTATGCATATATATATATATATATATACATGTCAAGTGCATTTGCAGAGCCAATCAATACGTATTAAATACAAGGCTATAACTGTTGGCCAAACTGTATCTTACAGATGCTAACATTTAATTCAATTACCTGTCGAGCACAATTGGCAAAGGAAATGGATTTTCGCACATCGCACGATAAGCCGGAAAAACCCATTTGTAAACATTAATTATAAACAAATAATTGTTTATATTGTTCCGTAAGCTTTATGCATTGTTTATAGGGCAAACAATTTAATTTCCCGCATGTTTGTGTAAAAACATCTGTGCAAATACTTATCAAAGTAATTCCCATTTGTAATTAGCTAATGAAGTAAATGTAACACATAAAACCAGACTTTGACTTAGATAGGTTTCTTAAAACTCAGTTTCTTCGAAATAGTTGGATTAGCAATTTTTGTTATCGATAATTAAATCGATTAATACATATTTACGACTCCAGTTTTCTCAGAAAATCTCAAAATTGGCCCACATATCAAGAATTGCCGATAAATATCGATTTGCAGTCGGCTTTTTAAGCATATCTCGAAAATATATAGAGCTAGGGAGATTAGGATACAAATATCAAGAAATGTCGATAAATATCGATGCACAGATCTTTTTTTATAGCATAACGCAAATGATCTTATAACTGAAGAGGCTGGGACAGAAATATTGAGAAATGCCGATAAATATCGATGCACGAAACCAGCCTTGTTGGCATATTTCGAAAATTCTTAGAGCTAGAGACATTAGAAGAGAAATATCGATAATATCGTTTCACAGTTCCAGCTTTTTCAGCATATCTGAAAAATATATAGAGCTAGGGAAGCTAGAATATAAAAATCGATAAATATCGATTCACAGATATAACTTTTACAGCAAATCTTGGAAATTCTTAGTACTAGCGTGCCTCTAGGACTGATCAGAACTCTAACAATATATATATATATATATACATAAAGTCTTGGGCAGCTCTCAGAGCTTTTTAAGCTTGCTTTCTCCCACTTTCTTATGGAGTTATTATGCCTTTTGTTTCTCTCCCCAGGTATCCCAATTTATAGACTTATTGTTCTCAATTTAAGCAATATATTACTTACAATTTTGACGATTTAAGAGCCTACAAACGTAGCAACAAAACAACATACAACTAAACCCTAGCTACACTTCCCTCTGCATTGCTTGCCTTAGCTACATGACACATTTTGCCCCCCTTGCCGCGCCCAAATGTCAACAATGTTGAGACTAATTGAAGTTGATATCAAATAGAATAAAATCATGATGAAGCTGACCGCAATAAAGTCTTCCGATCTAGTTCACAGATACAAAAACAAATGGGCGACAGAAACGGAAACAGAAGAAATATGCTCGCCTTCGTAGCGCTTCGCTGTAAAATGGGAAATTGTGCATTTCGAAATCTGGCCAAGAGGCAAGCAGAAATAAGTACAAAAAGTTAAGAACATGCTCCACATACTTTCGTGTGACACGTTAAGGGTGTGGCAAGGGGCAGCCGGGCGCAGCCGGGCAGCCGGAGAACGTTAGTTCAGTTCAGTTCAGTTGTTGTGGAAAGCTAAATGAGGCGTGACATAGAAAATGAGGCACAGGCCGCACACACACACACTTGGTAATTGGGAGTGCACCCACGACAACAACAACAACAACAACAGCAACAATAACAATAAACAAACGCGAGAGCAGGCATTGTGCCCAAAAACAAAGAGTCCGTGAACAGACAAAGCAAAGAGCGCATGTTTATGCGGTGAAAAATTGAAAAATCTCATGAAAAGCTTAAAAAGAAGATTGGCAAAAAACACGAAAACGAAATGCAAAGCCGCCAAAGCAAACGACTCGTTCGCTGGCCACACAGACAGAAGGAGAGAGGGAGAGTAGTAGTGCCAGCATGCACGACTAGGCATATACCCTATGTCCACGACTCGCTCTCTGGCCACACAGGCAGACAGACAGAAAGAGACAGAGATAGCAAGGCAGGAAGTGAGAGAGAAATAGAGAGGAGAGTAGTAGTACCAGCATGCACGACTAGGCATATACCCTCTATCCACAACTCGCTCTCTGGCCACACCTGCAGACAGGCAGAAAGAGACAGAGATAGCAAGGCAGGAAGCGAGAGAGAAATAGAGAGAAGCTATAGAGCATGCCCGACTAGACACATACCCCCTATCCAATTCTGTAACTTCTCTTTCACCCAAACGAATATTCATTCTTGAATAACTCGGGTATTTTATAACCGATTGTAATGATATCTTCAGGTCCTAAGGCTGACATTCAACTGCGCGTATATAACAATAATCCAGCCATTATCTCGAAATTTTCAAACATGCCTAGCTAAACGGAAATATTCCTTAAGCAGAGCATGTCTCAGCTGCGTGTACTTCTTCGTCTTACTTTCGTCTGTTACATACATTAGCAAAACAGCAAAACAGCCAATTTAGATCAATATCAGTGTGTACAGGGTATCATAAAATAAGTGGGGGAGACGAAGGGTCACACAATTAACCCTTCCGCAGGCGCGAGGGCAATTCAACAATTGCTTTGATGTCGCTTTTGTGTTGTGCCGCATTGTTGAGCTTGGGTGTTGGGTGTTGGGTTGTTTGTGCTTGAGTTCGTGTTGCTGTGCTTCATTCAACTTTGGCGAGGTGTCTGTTGCCCAGCTTCAATTGCAGCTGGCTTTAATTAGCTTATGGACAAAAAAAAAAAAGGGATATGCAATGAAATTAATCGGTTATGCTGTAATCGCATTTATCCCCGCCTTCCCACCTTTCAAACAATCCCAACCCCCTTTATTTGGGGCATGGTGGGGCATGGTGAATGCCCCGAATCAATCATGTATAGCGAAGCGTACCCGATTCCATTACAGCCGGCTTAACGAGATTGCCAGCTAGTGAAGCGTTAAGCTCCCCTCTCCCCCTCACCCGTGTCACTATTTACAGTAGCTATTTTTAAGCTGTTCCCAGGTCCGACCTAGAAGATGATCTCGATCGACATAGAAACACTTTTCTGTTTCGCTTTTTGGCGTAAATACATTTTTTTCCACATACAGTAAAGCCCCAAATCCGAGCAAAATCAGGGCTTACGGCAGCTCTTCAGCGTCTGGCCACACTGACCCTTCATCGGCTGGCCACACTGACCGATGCCGCTGCAGCACATGATGCACATGTTGCACGTTCCACAGCAGCTGCCACAACGCCGTTGATCCCGGCAAGCGGAGCGTGACTTGCACCAGTTACCAGGCGTACAGCCCAAACGGTTATGGGAGCCGCGTGAATACGTTCGAGTACAGCAGCGCATCTTGAGGGCTGTCACAGGTGTATTCAATCAAGAAATATATGCGTTTTATAATTATTTTTCAGTTACTCACGTTTGGGACTTTACTGTTTGGCAAAAATTGAATTTGACAAGCGAAGATTTTGAAAGTTATTCAAAAAAAATTATACAGTTCTAAGTTTTACATTACAAAGCGCTCTTCAATAACCCTAGAGAGAAGTTACCAATAAATATAGCGTATAGAAAAGAATTCTGCATCTATCATAGATAAAGCCTGCAATTTGTTACACTTTTAACATAATGTTAATATCTGCACGCCTTGACTAGCTTGAATGTCAGCTATATAAAGTCAAAATGGCGGAAACTTTTCAAAAACGCCAACTGCACGTATTTCGATATAAAATCAATAATCGATAACACACACAATCGATTAAGCATACGCCCATGTTAAAAATACACATGTTACAGATTCTGAGCAAGTTATATTTAACGACTGTTAAACGATGCGAACTAACTTATTTGTTACAATGCATGCATATCTATTAAGATGGTATATTCGATAATATATATATGTAAAACGTGCGATATAGATTAGCGCCAACAGCTATTTAGCTTTACGAGCGTTTATAGTTTATTTCGTCATACATAATTCTGCGAATATGCAAATCATTCGACAACAATTTCGAGCTGAAAGTGAAATTTTCTATTATCAGTTACTCAGAACACACACACACGCACCCGCACGCAAAGCTGTGTGAGAGGTGGAGAGAGGGAGAGAGAGCTAGAACCAATGGGCCACTAATACAGACATAAAAACGATCTGCTTAGATGTTGGCATAGCAAGCTGTCGTCTTCGTTCGGCTCTACTCGGCTTGAGTCGACTTGTCTTGTGCAGCCTTTGCTTTTGGAGAGAAAGAGAGAGAGGGAGCGGGAGAGGGAGCGGGAGCGGGAGAGCTGGAACCAATGGGCCAAGTGGGCATAACAAGCGCTCGGCTTGGCTTGGCTTGATTCGGCTCGACTCGGCTTGACTCGGCTCGACTCGGCTTGGCTTGTGCAGCCTCGGGCTCTGCTTTTGGGCTTTGCTGCTGGACGCTGAGCGCACCTGTCTCCACAGAAACGCGCGACGCCCGCGCCGTCGATTAGCGGACGCACCTAGAAGAAGCAGCACACACAACAGCCCCCGCTCGGCATATCCCAACGGTAAGTCCGTGGATCGCTTGGTGAGCAGCCGCAGCAGCCGCCGCTGTCGCCGCAGCCGCCGCAGTCCGCCGTTTTTCAAATGCTAAAATTGGCGATTAGTCAAAATGATGTCACCGAGTTATTTTGATTGTTTTTTATATACGTATTTATTTATTTATTTTGCTTTGCTTTGCTTTCGGTTTATTTTGCTTTGCTTTTGGCATTTCGTTGACTTCGAAATGCGCCCAATTCCAAGCGAGCCCATCAAATTCAGCTTAACGAAGTTCACAGGCACTTGTAATTGGATATGGATAACGGATAGCGGATAACGGATAAAGGATAAAACGAATGAAGATGTCATATGTCATCACATTATGTATGCCATTTTCTGACTAGCTGATTGAAGTTTAGATCATGTTTCCAATTAGAAAACCAAGAATGTAAAACAGTTTGTTTATGAAACTTTAAGTTAAGAGAGAATACACCTCCATGGGTTGACTTAACGATCATATGCCTTTATAAGGTCTGTAATGATTAAATCGCCAATTGAAGGAAAAGTGTCTAACAACTGGAACTGTATATTATGTACAGTACAGTAGATGCTCGCAAAGTGGATACTCTAGAAATGCAAACATTTTTGTGTGTAATATTTTCTTAACACACTTGAGATTTGCATTTGTTTATAGAAATCATTTAATTGATTTTTGACTTAAAGCGTTCCACATTGCGAGTTTCCACTGTATCATATTACTTGTGCCATTTAGGGAGTAAGATCTGATCTAATGCACTGAGGCAAGCAGAAATTAAAAAAAAAAAGATAAATAAATGACAAAGCTCAGCAAGGGCATTGTCCGACTATCAGATACCCTAAAGTCAGCGGCAGGCTGATTTTGCGTATATGCAAACTTCCTTAAACGTACATTCATAAACTTTTAAAAGTCAACAGTCCCTTCATCTAGTGTTGTAAAGCAATCGTAGTATGAGACATATATGTATAAAGGTTTTTTTTTTATAAATTGAAGTTGGGCACTCTGGGAAAAGAAGAAGAGAGCACGAGGTGACGCCGAAAACGACGAAAATGCAAATAAAGAAGATTGAAATTCCAGGATCGAAAGAACTTGGCGTTGTGCCTGTTGCAAAAACCAATATACCCTTTTTAGCCAGTTTCAATGAGTTAAGGGTATAAAAAGCAACCGCAAAATAAAAAAACAACTCATTAAATTACGGAATGTCTCAAAAATAGATAAAAACAAAGCATGGGGATTGAGCGAGGGGCGCGGGAAGGTGGCAAGATGACAATTGATATGCTTAAGTAAATAATTAAAGTCGATTGCCATCGTTTAATTTACAAGAACGAGCCACAAATAAATAAAACCAAAACGAAACACACGGGAGAGGGGAAAGTGGAAAGCGGGGTGTGTGTGAAAAGTGAACAACGACGTTGGGCAAGTGGAGGGGGAGGCGGGGTCTCAAGGGTGCCAGCTGCTGCGCTGCGACGCGTCGCATCGTATTTTTATGAATGAACATTTTGCTACGCTAAATGTTGTTGTTTTTTTTTCGGTTTTAAACAAAAGTCGACGCACAATTTAGGTTCAATTTGTTTACCTGTTTCTATTTTGTTTGGCTTTAGGGCTGCGTCGTCCTATGCGTCACTTTTGACCTGCGACAGATTTTGCGTTTGGGCTCTGCTTGAAGCTGGTACGCTGCTTCCTCTTCGCTTAACTGTTGTACGTTTTATTATTTTTGGAGAATTGTTCACCTGCTGCGCCCTTTGCCACTGTTTTATGCTGACTTTGGCCTTGCGAAATATGTTGACAGACAGATATATGTATAACTTCTGTTTTCTGTTTTCGGGCTATCTTCGACTTCGCTTTTAGGCTGCCCGAGACGCACAAACACAAGCGCACGCACGCACGCACACACAAAAACACTGGCACACACACACACACGCACACAACAAACACAGCTTCGTAAGCTGGATGAATCTTTCTATTTTTTAATTCGCTCTCGTTTCTTGTGGATAAAAAACAACAGAGGTGTAGCACACACGCACGACGTATTTTTAATTGTTAATTGTTTGCTGGAGGGGAATTCTTATCAACAGATTTTGTTTACGCAGCGGTTGCAAAAAACCGTCGCCCGCTGCTGCACTTGACTACTTTCAACCACCGACTGGCCAGTGTGACCAGTGCGAGAAATGCGCCAAAATCGCTGCTACAAGTATTTAACGCAGCGTGGCCGTATGCGCACAAAAAAATACCAAACACCATAGCTCCGGCAATATACCACTTTGCCGGCTACTGACAATTATTTAAAATTTAAATAAAAAACGTATGCAGAATTTCTGTGACTTGCTACAAACGGTTTTTGGTTAATATATATTTAAGGACAACACACAACGTACACACAAATTCGAACGGTGCACGTGACAATGACTAACACCTGATGCGGTTAACACGCCATGGCTTTTGACTCATTTTAAATAATTGAGTTATTTCCCTATTGCTCTACTCCTCCTTTAAGGGTATATCCCTTGTCGTTGTGGGCGTGCCGGCCACACTATTCCGCTCCCGGCGCGCCCGCTCCTTCAGCTGGGCCGTCTTCAACGTGGCCATCATTTGCGTTGAGTTATACAGCCAAGTGCCCTGCATTGAGAATGCAAAATTTACAAATCATATAAATGCGCAAAAGACACGTAAACATTTGCCCAACTCACAATCAGCAGCATGCAGTTCAGCAAAATGGGAATGGAGAACACAGTCGAGATAAAGAGGCCGTTGCCATCGAAATACTGCTGCTTGGAGAATGTTTTCCAATTCTGTGCCGCATACTCGTTGATGCTCTCCGAGAAATAAACAACAGACACTGCAATAATGCGAATATCAGCAAGCGCATAAGAATAATTCAACTTTGTTGAGTTCCGGTCAGAGTCCGGAGTACTTACACAGAACAAGGAATAGAAAAACTTGGAAATTTGTGTTGTTACGGGTGAGCAGGGCCGTGCTAGTTGTCAGCACGTGCAGTAAAATGAGTCCTATCAGCCACGGATCCTTCCAATCGATCTGAAATGGCGAGTTGCCTGGATCAACATATTTTGTCAATAGCTTTTCTTTTGGTGCACACTTACGCTTAATAGAAATGACCAGACGCCGGTTATTTCATTGACTTCGATTTGTCCGGCATGCATATTGCGACGCTTTTTAAACAACTTTTATATGTAAGTTTTCCTTTTAGAAAAAATCGCGGGAGCGGCAGAAAAATAACTCAGCAGGCAGCCACGCACAAAAAAGGTAAACAATAAATGTATAAGAAAAAAACATCAATTTATCGAGATATCGATAGTTGGTGTGACCATCGTTAGCAAACAGCTGATGTAGCGATAGACATGATATACATCGCACGGCGTATATCGGTGATGCAATGGCTATTTCATACGTAAACAATGAACTTCAGACTGACCAAATATTGTGTATAATCTGTAGAGAAGAAAATTTGCAGCCCTGGTTGCGATTGGCCATACTGCTATCATGCAGCTTGAACGTCTCAACTTTGCTTTCACTGACTCAGTAGACTCCAACATTAACAAAATCTGAAAAATTCTCCACAAAGAATTTGTTAAATACAGTCAAAATTATAGTAAACATAAACCAAAGCATTATTTTTGTTGTTGTTCAACGCTAACGTGCGAGCAAATCAAATCAGGAATTTAGGAAACGTGCGACGAATATTATTAAGAAGGTGTCGTCGCAGTGACAAAACGGAAATTGAGCTAAAAACAAAGCGAGCGTCGTCTCTGTCTGTGCCGCTGCCTCTGCCTCTGCCTTATCACCGCCTCCAACCCCCCTCTCTACACCCGCGAGCGTAGCACACAAATTCGTACATCGTCGGAACAGTGTAGGAGAGTGTTGCACAGCGGAGCAGGACAGTGTGGCGAAGTGCAACTAAGTGTTAACTAGCCTGGCGCAATTAATTTTCAGCTCGCTGAATGGCAGACTTTGGCTTGCGTTTTGTTTATTGTTATTGTTGTTAAACAATTGTTAATTGTGCTTTAGCCGCTCGAGCGAAAATTGAAAAACAGCAACAACGACTCGCAACGGCAACTGGCTCAAGGACACGCGGCGACTGCGCCACCGACGGCCACACAACAACAGCCGCAGCGCCCGCGCCAAACAGAAGCCCAAACGTCCCAGGAAACGCGTGCCGCCCAGGCGCCGGCGTCTTCACAGCGAACAGTTGCAATTAACGCCCTTTGACATGGCTGTCAAGCAGAACAACACCGAGCAGAACGAGATGGCGCCCGGCCAAGCTGGCGGCGGCGGCGGCGGTGGCTCGGCCGCCAATATGGGCGCCGGAGGAGCTGGCGCTGGAGCTGGTGGAGCTGCGTCTTCCAATGGCAAATCCACAATGCCGGGCAACATTTCAGACGAAGGCGGCGGCGGCGGCGGCGGGCAGGTCAACGATGCCAGCAGCCAGACGACGTCTGGCAAATGCCAGACAAACGCTCGAGAACTGGGCGGAGCGGGCGGCAACGGCAGTGGAACTGGCAGCAGCACCACCAACGATCGGCAGCACGATTTCAATGCGTTGCTCAACATAATGCAGGGCATCGATCCGGAGGATCAGAAGGCGTCGCGCATCTATAAGCTCGTCATCTACAATCTGGCCGGCATGCATGTGAGCAGCGCGCCGGCAGATCTCAAGCTGTTCAAGGAGAACATCACCAAGATCGGCCAGCTTCTGGCGGTGCCCAACAAGAAGCGCTATCTGATGTTCTATCTGCGCTTTGTCTACCATCTGATCACACAGTCCGCGGAGCCGCCCTCCTGCGCCGTGGCCATCGTGTTCCAACTATTCAGTCCGGATCTGATCATTGAGGCGGTGCAATCGCTGCTCGATCTGAATGTCCAGGACGATAGCATACGGAAGACGGTCGGCTTGCTCTGCAAATGGATACATGTCTGCAATTTTTGCCAGAATCTCAATCTGTGGATAATGGCCCTGCTGCACGGACTGCGCGAACAGGAGAAATATCTGCTGCTCGACGAGATCGCGCTCGATAATATCGAGCATCTGTTCAGGCTCATGATCTTGCCCGCTTTGCGTCCCAAGGTAGCGCCCATTGTATTTCACATGCTCTCCACCATCAATCAGACGCCCGAAATATTCCACAAGGTGAGTTTTGGAGCCCTTGGAGCCTGCGAACGCCGGGTAATAACCTCTCTTTCACAGATATTGCCAAGCATACCGCTGGTGATTGGCGCTATGAAGAGCAAGCCAAATAACCTGGATAACGCCAGCAGCGATGCGCGCAACTATATCCAAAAGCTGGTCGACTTGTTCAATGCGCTGATGATACGCTTCTATGACAACGATGAGCTCTATGCACCCTTAAAGGCTACTCTGCAGATGTACGAGCCCTCGCAGAATTGCATGGCATTTGCCCGTGCGCTGTTCGAGAATGCTCTGCCACGGAATGCACGCGTCGGTCTGGTCAATCTGGGCAATACCTGCTACATGAACAGCGTGCTCCAGGCGCTGGCCATGACCAGCGAGTAAGTGTAGCCACAAGATTTACAAGATAGAGCTCTGCATCGGTTATTTTAATTGACTCGTAACTCGAATACTCGTTCGAGCTGTCGATATTCGAACAAATGATTCATCAAACACCCGAGCATAACTCGAATACTCGTTCGAGCTGTCGATGTTCGAACAAATGATTCATCAAACCTCCAAACACAGCTCGAATACTCGTTCAAGCTGTCGTTGTTCGAACAAATGATCCATCAAACCTCGGAGCACAACTCCCATACTCGTTTGAGCTGCCGATGTTCGAAGAAATGATTCATCAAACCTCCGAGCACAAACATGTTCGAGCCGAACGTGTTGCATTGTGCTCGAACAGAACCGAGTTTGAAGCGAGCTCGAACACAGCTCGATTGCTCAATTGTTCGAGTTCCGCTCGACTCGATGCAGGGCTCTAATCTATAAGCATAACACACACACTCAGTTCTTGTCATCCTCCCCCGCAGCTTTGTGCGTCAAATCCTGCTCATCGAGAGCGGCTCGATGTTGTTGCAGAAGGTGCAGCAGCAAATCGCGCTGATGCATCATTCGATGCGCTACGAGCTGACGCCGTTGCGGGTGCTGAAGGCCACACGTCCGCCAGGCTTTACGCCCGGCCTGCAGCAGGACAGCTCCGAGTTCCTAGGCTATTTGCTGGACCTGCTGCACGAGCACGAGATCAACAGCGGAGCGGCGCAGCACATGGACACGGACGTGGGACAGCCCAAAGAGGTGAAGACCAGCAGCGAGCCGGCGCTGCTGACGGATGAGATAGTGGCCGCCGGCGTTATACCCTATAATAGCAATGATCATGTGCACAATACCAGGCCGAGTGCGCCGGCAATTGGCCCAGCCACGCCCACATCCATGCCCACCAACGCAGCGCCGAAGAAGCCGTCGACCATAGACAAAACGTTCGCCGGCAAGTTGTCGACGACATACAAATGCCTGAGCTGCGCCTGGGAGAGCCGCAACGAGGACAGCTTCCGCGAGCTGCAGCTATCGTTTCCGGACGACAAGGTCGACTGCGGCGCCACCAACTATTCGGTGCAGGATCTGATCGACTATTACTGCTCGCCGGAGAAGCTCGATGGGGACAATCAATACTTTTGCGCACGCTGCAAGAAACTGTGCGATGCGGAGCGTCGGATTGCCATCACCCAGGCGCCGCGCAATCTAATCCTCACGTTGAAACAGTTCAAATACGATCAGAAATATCATTTTCGCACCAAGCTCATGCACAAGGTGTTCCACGATGAGAGCGTAAGTTGTTGCAGTACTCCAATTGTAGCCCAATTTAATCTATAACCCTATTTACCAGGTGATTGTCAAGGTGTGCGCCAACGATTCGCTGCAGGAAACGTGCACCGTACACTATGATCTGTATGCGGGCGTCGTCCATGCCGGCTACAGCATGGACTCTGGGCATTATTTCACCTTTGCCGCCGATCAGTCCAAGAATTGGTTCAAGTTCAACGACAGCCTGGTGACCAATTCGAAGCCCCAGGAAATGCACAGTCTGACCTCACCGAACACACCCTACATTCTGTTCTATCAGATGTGCGGCCGGTCCACCGAGGCCACGCCCGATGGACCCATGCATGCAATGGTGCCGGTGCCCCTAGTGCCGCCCCTCACGCTCGACGAACTGCCGCGCGGTCTGCGCGACTATGTAAAGAACGATAATCGGGATTATAGCGAGGAGCTGAAGCTGCAGCGCTTCAAACGGAATGCCAAACGGAACACGTTGAGCGGCAATGTTACCATGAATGGTCGCAATGGCTACGAGGGCGATGACGAGGACGACCATATGCCGCCCCCGGCGGGTGGGTGTGGCGGCAACGATATGGGCATGAATATCAATCGTTTTGTGTACTGATTGTGAGCAGTGTACGCAATATATATATATATTTTACAATATATATATATATCTTATATATACACACACACACACACAGACACACACACACACACCTCCATACGTAGCGTTATATCTAGAGTTATATAAGTATATATATATATAGAAAATTATGCGGTTCATTGTCATATGTATGCAAGTGCAGCTCGGCTACAGTCTGCACTCGCTAAAGCCAACGTTAGCTGGGCATTCTATCATACACACACACACACACACCTACTATTGTTGTCATGTTCCTTAAAAACCAGCACACACACACACACACACAGAACAGCAGAAACTACAATTGTATTTCCATTTACAGATTTGTTATAATTTTTACGCATTGTTTTTGTTAACACAAATTTAGTTATAGCCTTTTACATATGCATATATATATATATATATATATGCATATATATTATACACATACATATTAAAGCATATAAATTAGCCAGCAAGAGAGAATGTTACGATACTCCCTAGCTATACATATAGATATATATATATATATATATATATATATATATATATATATATATATACCAAACCAAATCAAGTTTATAGAAGAGAAGACAAAAAAACCATAACTGGATAACTTCCAACACTGGCCTCCAAGAACATAACCTGTAAAACGACCTACCTATATTCTTCAGCTCAACTTAAGTTCTTAGCGCACAGATCCGTAAACAAAACTTATTGTGCTTGTAAATGACAGAAACAGATATCGAAATCGAATCTATTGGCATAGCAAAGGGATTTTTTTTTTTAAATTTTGTGAATTTTTAAAATTTACTTTTGATGTAACACGAATTTTGTCTGAATGGAGTATCGTGAAGAAAAAAAACAAATATAAATTTATATAATCACGTTAAGGTTTTGAATATTATTGCAATTAAATTGGAATAATTTCAATTCAATAAGTGTATATGCTGTAACTTATGAATATTTATCTATTACATTTATAAGGGTATCAAATAAAACTGAAAACACGAAACGTCAAGCGTTTTTTACTTACATTTTTGTGCTGATTATTATAACAGGGTATAAAGCCAATCGAGCACTGCCTCATTTGCTCTTATTGTGGCGGCAGCACGATATAGATTATTTGTGGTATTTATTGAGTATTTTTTACTTTGACTGCCAACGGTCACACTCTCCAGTAAAAGCTAGCCCACAAAAACCTCCGCCTCCAGCTGAAAACCGCTACACACACACAACACACACACACACACGCACACACAGCCAGTTTGGAGCGCGCCTATAAAATGAGCAAAACGCGGCGCGCTCTCGAACAGTCTCTTGATTTGTGGAGCATATTATTAAGACCAAACGCGCGACGGTCGTCCAGTCAGTCGACGCAGAGCGCTGCAGCAGCAACAACGACGACGACGACGACAATTAGAACGTGCAAAGTGCAAAAGTAAATAAATAGCGAGAGTTAATATTGTTATAACACGCGTGGAATCAGTGTGGAAAATCCGACTATCTCAAGCGCATAATTTGGCCAACAACAAAACGCTCTTTTATGGCGCATCAGCGAAACAAACGCTCAGCGACTGCCAGCAAATTCTACAAGAACAATAACGGCAACAGCAGCAGCAGCAGCTAGCATAAAGCAACAAAAAAACAACAACAAATATTGCTGATTTATACAAATACAAATATTTTGCTAACTTTTGTACGAACAACGTTTAAAGCCTTTTTGAGCACAATTGATTTACTGTTGTTGTTGTTGTTGTTCTGTTTGTGCACAAAGAAGAAGACATTGCCAGCTGTTCGCTGAGAAAAATTGCGGTAAAATATTGACAATCCAATTGGAACACTCAAAATAAAAGGGTGGGCAGCCCGGTCAACGTCCTGCTGCCTAACAAAAAGTGTGGTTATGCACGGCTTTGTCCTCGCTGCCGTCGGCTGTTGAAGGTGAGCCAAGGACATTTTGCACTGCCTGCCGGCAGAGTTGGAAGCTCTCTCGTAGCGCGGCCTATCAAAAGTTGTTGAAGATAACAGCCCTGTACTGATCCCGAACCACAACCCTGCCCCATACACACACACACACACACACAGAGAGCCAGGCAACAGTCACTCAAGATGCGTATTTTTCCCGTGCGACTCTCGGCCGTCTCGTCGTCCATGTCGAGCTTGGCCAAAATGTTGGATTTCTACTCAGGCTTCAATCCGTCGCCGCTTTCAATTAAACAGTTTATGGATTTCGGTAAGCCAAACATGCATTTATTTATAAATATTTTACCGCGGCCGGGTCCTTGCCGGCTTTCGTTAAGTTGCCCCCCTGACTCGCGCCGTCTCGCTTGCTCTACCCTTGCTCTTAGTTCACTTCTGTGTGTGTGCGTGTGTGTTGTTTTGCTTTTTGTTCGTTGAATAATTATTGTTATTCTAATACGAATGCAACAAACATTTGTTACCCTGCCGTGACGTCACCCAAATCGATTGATTTGCCGCTTTGATCTTATCGGCTCGACTCTTGCGTAACCTCTCTACACTATGAGAATCTTTCGTTCGGCTTGTTGACGAAAGCAACGTTTTTCTTTGATTGAAAAAGCACTCAAGTTTTGACTCATATGGCATGTAATCGCTCAGTACGTGACAAAGCTTAGCTTGGGCTGCATATGGAATTATTTTGTTGTACTGCGCAAATTGCCGTTATCTAATGCCCAATTTATTTCCATTGGCTTGTCAATTAAACAGTTTTCACTGTACAACAACAACAACAGACTGTTGACTATGCAGAACTCAAGCCAGGCTGAGCGAGCGAGCGAGAGAGCGAGAGAGAGAGAGATAAATACAGCCGTCTCAATTGCACGCTTCAGTTCCGAGCGCTGGATTAAACGACTTGAAAAACGGAAGTTCCCACAAATAGATTTATTTTTCATGAGCCGTAGATGACAATGAAATTTAATATTTTAGCTACAAGTTGTTAAACCCCTTCCTGCCCCCCTCGCCCACCAGCTGGCACGTGCCGCCCAAGGACGTTTCAATGTCATTTACATAGGCATATGCATTATTAACATGCACAAACATGCATGGGCGCATATGTATATGTTATATATACATATACATACACATACATATATATTTATAAGTCTGTGCACTCCGTTCTAAGCCGCACCAAAACCTGCCCCAATAAGCTGCAGAGAGCATAGCATATGACACTATCAAATACCCTGTACAATTTGTCAATTACATGGGGGAAAGTTATCAAGATAAACTTCTGCTAAAAATACTTTATATCTAAGGCAAACATAAAGATAAGTATTTAATCAGTTTGCGAATATTTATCATAAATGAATCTAGAGAGAAAGTACAAGGAAATTGGGTTAGATAACAATTGTTGATAAAAGAAAAGGAAGCGAAAGGCGGCATTATATAATAATTAAACCATAAATAAGCGAATATGTCAATTTGCTATACGTACGTATATAGGGTATATATAGCAAGCGACCCTTACCGAACCTTATATAGGGTATCTATAACAAGCGACCCCAACAGTTCTTAGCCCCACGGCCCAAAAGGCAACTGGCTTGGAAACAATGCGGCCAAGTCAAGCCAAGTGGCTAAGAAGAGACCCAGTTTTATTTGACGGTTCAGCCAGCTGGTCGAGGGGGTAGGAGAAGGGGGGGGGGGGGCGAGACCTACTAGAGGGTCTATATATAGAGAGACCAGCAAGGAGGAGGCAAGGCTTCCAAAGGCTTATTAATAGAAATTGTATGAAACAGGCTCGAGACTTGTTTCTGCTCACATTCAGTGTGTACCTATTAAATAAAAAAAAAAAAAAACAAAAAAAAAACAACACTTTTTATCCATTGTTCATAATCTTTTGTTTTTGTTTTCATTTTATATGATGTACAAATAAAATAAACAAAGGCTTTTCTAGTTAATTCAATACAAAATATGTATGTATGTTTGTGTGTGTGACTGTACTTGAACTTTGATGCAAGCGATAAGATTTGAGCTGCTTTTGTTGCCAACTGTACCTGGCCAGAGGCATACACATAAGTATCTGTGCAAGGCTGTTAGCATTTTCCATGGGAAAGCGCTCAGCTGTGAAAATTCACAACATGTCGTAGCTGCTGAAAATGTGAACAATATGCCAGTTTTTTTTTTATCATATATGGGGCATACATATGTTAAGTGTGCGAAACTCGTATTATCACCCGTTAAACAATAACATAACATTATCGAATGGCCCACTTAAGATATGAATAATAATTATTATTGACTTATTCGGGCTAAACTGTACAGTGAAAGCCCTTTTGGACGAACAACAAACATGAGTCAAAATTTGACGCTAAATGATTATTCTCCCAACTTTTAGGTTAGGTTCTTTCAAGATCTTTAGCTGTAAAAGTAGCTTGAGTCCTTTGAGGATATTCCGTCTAAGTGAGAGCTGTCATTTAGTAGAGTTATCACTGTACCTAGCTCATGCTATACCTAAGTGAAGCCCTAAACACTTTCCCTATCAATGGCCCATCCGAAAGCAATATAAAATATTTGATATGGCAAATTCGGAGGCTCGTTGTGATTATGTGAGCTGATCATGTGCCAAATATTTTTCATTTCATGTGATAAATATAACAATAACAACAACAAATGCAGTGACAAAAGTGAAAAAATATAGAGGCGAGCATATATTCAAATCGAAATTTGACGCATACGTTAAGTATACGCTGCGTGTGTGTGTGTGTTCGTGTGTGTGTGACCATCTAAAGCAGCGAATATCGAGAACCGTTAAATATAAGCAACGGCAGCATCACACGCAAATTTTGGACTTTGCCAACACTTGAACTTTGGATTCATGAACGGGTTTCGAGCAGACAAAAAACAAACAAACAAACAAACACAGACGTCAAAACCTAACCCAAATAGAAAAAGAAGAAGAAGCATAACAAGGCAAAAAAAAATTGGCAAAAAAGAAGCGAAAAAAAGCTCAACACCCCCGTGTTTTTTTTTTTTCGATACTCGTGATAATAATGACAGCCACACGCGCCGCAAAGTTTCTACGCACTTAGCCAATAGCCTGCAGGGTATATGCGAACTTTGGCCAGCCTGTGCTACTTACGCAAATTGAACTCAGTATTTATGTTGATTTTTGAACTTTACAGCACTTGTCGTCTAGTCTACGCTTTCGTCAAGTTTGCCACACAAACAAACATGCATGCATGCATGTAACATATGCATGTAACTGTAAGGCAACGCCGAGTCCAGCAGTCCAGCATTTAATTCTTTCTCGCTCTTGCTCACACGTTTCTCAGCAGCGGGGCGGCAGGGGCGCGGCAAAGGCGAATGTGAGTCAAATATACGCAAAAGATGTCGTCGGTAAAAGTGGATCTAATAAATACATACATACGTGTGTGTGTGTGTGTGTGTATGCTGATGCAAGAGCCAAAGATGTCAATTAAGCTGTGACGTCACGCTCATCTGCTCAAGTGGCATTATTTAGCTAATGTTACTGTAATTGAAATAGAAAACTGCACGTGTAACTGTAATTGCAGTGCGAGCATTTCCGACTTGCGACTATCCCTGACCTTGCTTTGGTCGTGCTAGTGGCGGGGTGGGGTGGGGATGGAGTGAGAATGGCTGTGCGTATTAAGAAATTTGCCGCCCGCTGCGTGCGTTGTAAATTATTTATTGCATTTTCCAGCACTGCCGTGCAATTGAGTAATTGAGTGCGCTGCTAACTAAGAAGAAGCAGCATTCAATTGAGTACTAAGTGAATTCGTGACGTTAGCATTTGTCACTTGTTTATATCCAATTACCGTTAACTACATGGATTATGCCAATGCGCACGCGGGAATTAAGTAACGATTATTGTTTATTAATATTAATATATTTCACTTATCACGCGAGGCGAAACGAAAGTGAAGACGGGCCTTATCACTGCCAATGCATCAAAGTTCTTGTCAAGTGCCAGACGGGTCCGATCAACTCATCAGAAGTCTCTTTATTTTCGCAAACAAACTCGAAGGCATAGCAATAATAAAAACACACACACGCACACGTACACGCACACGTATACAGTCAAAGCAGCCTTCCGCTTCTATTCCAACAACAAAGCATAAACATGAAAAAAAAAGCTCAATTTTGAGGTCAGCAGCTGGAGCTCGCCAGTGTTGTTTGCTATCGTGTGGGTGGGGAAGGGAGGGGGGGTGCTCAGGCATTGCGCGTGTCTTCTGATCGCGCTTATGCGCTCTCTCACTCTCTTTCTCTCGCACTCTCGCGCTCATTCGTTATCTCTCCATGTCCAGCCGGCAGTTTCTCGCAAATTCTAATAAGGCTGACGTCGTCGCGCTTGTTTTGATGTTTTGTTTTTTTTTGTTGTTTTTTTTTTTTTTTCATTTTCTTGTGAACCTGTTTGAGCGCAACTTTTGTTGTCTTTTATGCTCTCTTGTGTTTTTATAGCTCGTTTTATTGATTCTGTTTTGTTTTCCGAATTCGTTACAATTGCGGCCCATAAACAAAATGGCCGACAAAGCTATCGAAGCATTTATGACTAACTTTTAACACACACACGCACACACACACTCACAAATATATGCGCATGCATATACATACATACATATTTGTTTTCGCTTTGCGATTGTAATGCCGAAAATCATCGTAAATTTGTTGATGAGAGGCCCTCGGTAAATGTTGTTGACACTCTTTGGTTTGCCCTCTGGGTCTCTTATCAGACTCTTTGGTTAGATTACGCGTTAATATGGGCTGGCTGCGTTCAAAGTAATCAACGAAATTAAACGTCAGCCGGAATATAAAAAAGAGGCGTGTCTTGTCAAACTCTGACAACAGATGGCGTTCAGTTCAGTTCAAGGTCTCCAAATGAAAAACAATTTGATGTGCACAAGTGTGTACACATGTCTCCACATACATAAATGCAAATGTATTTCGAATTAATTTTCGACTTGTCGCCGAGTTCGTTGTGCTTATCAGTCGGTCAGTCGGTCCGTCTGTCGGCGGCTCGAATCGCATGTTTCTGCTTTTCCTTTGCTTTGTGTTTTTTTTGTTACGAAATTGTTGACGAACAACAAAAACAAAACACATGAAAAGTGCAAAGTTTTTGTGCGGCTTTGTTTCGGTTTATTGACTAAAACAATGCCTATTCGTTCTGGGTTTTTGAACTGAGCTCATTTTGTTAAAATAAACAATTAACTATGGAACAGCTCAAGACTGAGCTCTAACGAACCAATCTTGCTCGACTTACAGTTACCCTATAAACTATTCAAAACTGAGCTGATTTTTATGGCTTCCTTTGATTTGGTAACACTGTTTTGTTGCCCAAATAACGTAACGGGTGTACACTTTTCAACATTGAAATTTTGCAACACTGCTTTGCTTGTTTGTTCTCTCACTTCAAATATCGTAATGGTAACACTTTTTAGAATCGGCTTTTCAAGCGAATTCTCGTTTTCGGCCTAACTAAACACTTTTTATCCACTGAGCAAACGTTTTTTTAATGGTACCTAATTTAATACAGGGTATACTCAAGTCCGATTTGCCTTAATTCGTCTCTTAATCCTTTGTATTCTATATTTAAACAGCGTAAAACTTTTAAGAAACCGCTTTTCAAGCGAATTGTCGTTTTCGGTCTAGGTAAAACCCTGTTCAAATGTAGCTGCTGACTAACCCTACTGAATGCAGGGTATACGCACGTCCGATTCACCTTAATCGTTGCAATCGTTCTTAATCATTCGACGAATTCGTTGAACTCCAACTGACCCATTGCCGATGCAAATGCGAATGAGAGCCAGCCTTGATGAGCGAAACTAGAACAAATACTATATATAAATCTAATAATGCCCCCTCTCCCCCCTCTCTCTCTCTTACAGGCCAGAATGCATGCGAAAAGAAATCGTTTATATTTCTGCGCAAGGAGCTGCCCGTGCGTCTGGCGAATATCATGAAGGAGATCGCCTTGCTGCCGGACAATCTGCTGCACACGCGTTCCGTGAGCGAGGTGAGCTCCTGGTACGTGAAGAGCTTCGAGGATGTGCTGGAGTACGAGAAGATCGAACCCACCCACGAGAATCTGCAAAAGTATAAAAACGCCAATTAAAAAATGATTATTGCATGTTTTGAAATTTCGTTGCCTTGCAGATTTGTGCGCGATTTGGATCTCATTAGGAATCGCCACAACGATGTTGTCCAGACGATGGCGCAGGGCGTCATCGAGATGAAGGAGAACGAGGGCGGACACGTGGACGCGCCCACCGAGAGCTCCATACAATACTTTCTCGATCGGCTCTACATGTCCCGCATCAGCATACGCATGCTCATCAATCAGCACAGTAATCAATTATATATATATATATATCTGTTCATTATAATCAATCTCAAATTCTTGCCGCACAGCCCTGCTCTTCGGCTCCAGCCCGCATTCGCTGGGCCGGCACATCGGCTGCCTGGATCCCGCCTGCGATTTGTCGGACGTGGTGCGCGATGCGTACGAGAATGCCCGCTTTCTCTGTGATCAATACTATCTGACCAGCCCAGCGCTGGAGATCCAGCAGTACAGCAGCACGGATGAGGGTACACCCATCCGGACCGTGTACGTGCCGTCGCATTTGTACTATATGCTCTTCGAGCTGTTCAAGAACTCGATGCGTGCCGTTGTCGAGCATCACAATCATGACAATTGCGATACGCTGCCGCCGCTCAAGGTGGCCATTTGTCGCGGCAAGGAGGACATCTGTGTGAAGATCTCCGATCAGGGCGGCGGCATACCGCGCTCCCAGTCCGATCAGCTCTTCAAGTACATGTACAGCACGGCACCGCAGCCCTCCAAATCCGATCTGCATACGGTTCCGTTGGCCGGTTACGGCTACGGCCTGCCCATCTCCCGGCTCTATGCGCGCTATTTCCATGGCGACATTGTGCTGCTCTCCTGCGAGGGCTTTGGCACCGATGCCATCATCTACCTGAAGGTGAGGCTATCCATAGTATATTTAGTCGAGTCAAGAAAAAAGCTAGATCTAGTACGTACCCAAGTCTGTAGAGGGCATATCTTAGGGCACACTCAGATCCTGAAAAACTCACATTTCTGATAGAAGTCTCAATGAAAAAAGCCTCAGTTTTGTATATATATTCTCGGTCCTTCGTATACACACACTCCTGTATGTCATATTGAATATCTGAAAATTTCAAAAAGATTGAATCATAAATACCGAAGTTAACTGAGAACGTATTTGGTATATGTTTATGCCTTTACCTAGCTCTAGATCTAGTACATGCACAAGTCTGTAGAAGGTATCTCTTGGGGTATATATACAGATCCGGCATAGCTTACATTTCTGATACCTCCAAATGTAAAGGAATCCCATTTTCAAAGATATATTCTTGATCCTTGGAATATACACACGGCACAACATTATATTTAAGCCCTGAAATTTGCAAAAAGAACGCTTCGTCAATGGCCAAGTTAAATGAGAAAGTACGGGAAGAATATCTCGTGGAAATCTGTAGCTTTCAGTGATATATTCTTGGTCCTTGGACATGCCTCCTTATACATACTTGCGTATTCCATAATTGGGAACTAGGGAAGGAATATCTTATATAATAGATGTTAATACTAACTAAACTCTCTGCTTTCTAACTCTTTGCAGGCGCTTTCCGATGAGGCCAACGAGCTGTTGCCCATCTTCAACAAAACTAGCTCAAAGTTCTATCGGGCCACGGTTCCAACCGGCGACTGGTCCAATCAGGTAAAATACGCTAAGAAGAAGAAGACCAGCGCCGTCAGCCAATAGACCAGGCTCGCCCCCCGTGTGTGTGCGTGTGTGTGTGTGTGTGTGTGCGTTAACCAAACCCAAAATCAACCCAGGCGAAAAATGAAAGCAAAACCAAACCCGAACCCGAACCCGAAGCCAGAGATAATCCGCACGAAGTCCAAAGTTTTAACTCAATCCTAATTATTGTTTAGCTTCTTCTAATTGTATAATTAATTTAAATGTGTGTGTTTGTTTGTTTGTTCGCCCAATTAATATTAATTATGCATTTTGTTGGAATCGTTTTGACATTCCAGAAATTGATATATGCGGCGCTTCTTTGGGTTTTTATCTGTTTGTAATTACAATTTTAGCTCCTAAGCACGATAAAGTCTTATATTTTAAATATATCTATCTATATATATATATATTCATATATTTATTGCAAAATAGCTACATATATATCTAATCTGGAAACATTTAGTTTTTTTTTAATGTAAATTAGTTTTAAGTTACAAAAATACATTTTATCTGAGCACACACACACACACACACACACATACATATATATAGATAGATATATATATATATATTATCTTTTAAGTTCTACTGAAGTTTTGAGCAAATCTGCTGTTGAATTATTTATACAAAAAATACACACACATGCAATTACCAACTTTTGTTCTTTGTTTAATTTTCATCCAAAACCTGATTTAACTATTTAAATATAATTAACAAGATTTAGACGCATGCTAATTACTGGAATCGCTTTCATAGTCGAGATTTTCTTCATGGAATCATTATCAACTTTTCAAGATCGGACTTCATTTAACTGAGATATTTCACAAATAAATATCTCGGGAAAAAGTCTTCTGATATGCGAAAGACATTTCTTCTTGGATCGATTTCTATTAAAAGAGACCGCATTCTAAATTTTCAAAAAACGGTTCAGTTATATTCCCGAATCGAAGAATTTCCGAAGAATCGCACTTCATTTAACTGAGATTTAAGGTTTTTCCAATATATTCTCATGCAAATATCTCGAGTAAAAGTCTTCTGATAATCGAAAGATACATATTTCCAAATCATTCAAAGTTTTGATCAATTTTGTGAAAATATTTTTACAAATTTTGAGATAAATAGACGAAGAATTTCCAACCAAACAAACTCGCATTATCCTGTATTTAGCCAATCAAAGTGTTCTTAACAATTGGAATTGAAATAAATTTGATAAAAAAGGACGAATTTTTGAAGGTTTTACAGAAATAGAGTAATATTCTAATCTTAAGTGAGCCATTTTCGCATGCAAAGAAATAGGCTAATTTTGAAAGACTAAGCTTTTCTTCTTGTGTTATATATGATTTATAAATTGTAACCTAAATGCATGAAAATCTCCTAAAAGAACCTTCTAAATTATTCCCCCAGCTCCAAATGTGGCATACTTTCTGGCTAAACCGGAAAAAAACACCATGGAATTTTTACAAAGTTCTCTTTTGTTATTTACAACATATTTTCTTTTAGCTCATTTTCTTTTGGCATTTCTTTCAGAACTTTTCCAATCGCTGGCGTTATATCTATGGTTTTATAAAAATGTATAAGAATCCTTAAGACTGTAATAAAAATAACTAGCCTGGGTTAGTTTCATTTTTTTGGTTTTTTAAACAGCAAATTGTTCAACTTGCAGTGTGTTTTTTTTTAAATCTCTTGATATATCTTTCGTATATATAAATTTATTTATACATTTTTTTAAATTTATATCCGATTTTATATGAGCTGATATATATGTTAACTAATTTGATTAGTCGTTCATTTGAAGCACCAAACTAATTTGATTATAATTGAATTAGCGCATTTCTGCAAATTGAAATCTTTTGAGCAATATATGACACTTTCGTATACCCTGCAAGCGTATCCAAAACTTTGGCCAGCCCGAGTTTTACTCAAGTTCTTCTCTTGCCTTATTGCGAGCTGAAAGCACAAAGATCCTTCCCTTCCCCTTTGTATACCTTGCTGATCGCCTCCATATATTGCTGGCCTATTCCAGAGCTCGGACATGAATGCACGCCAGCTGAACGCGACAACGCCGAAGCGCTACAGCGATCTGGACTAGGGAGCTGGCCAGCTCGGAACGTTACTCAGGACGACTACAACAATTGATTTTAAACTACAGAGAGCATAAAGATATTGAATATACACTATATATATAGATAAATATCACTAGTTCTAGGCAAACATTCCCAAATACAAGAGCAACAGCAATAACAACTATGTTTTCTATATGTAATTCGTGTTAAGTTTTCAATTGTTAAACTGGAAAAGCAAAAATGAGAAATTGTTAAAAAGAAAGTACGTTAGAAATGATTTGCATATTTTATAAGCGTGTTTTTGTGCAATCACAACTGAAAAGCAACAAAAAATATATATATAAAACGATTTCAAAACATAAAGCGAAAACCGATTTTTCATTTAAGGCGCTACAATTTATTTTTTACATCATAATAAATATTGTTCATTTCGCAATAATTCATTGCGTGTGCTTGACAGAGATATATATACATATGCACATATCATATATATATATATATATATATGTACATATGGCATATCAGATATATATATATATATATATATATTTGTTTATAATTATTTTATACAAAATTCTCACATTTAGGTTTTTAGCGTTTGCACATTATCACGACGTTTCTGACGTTAACTTGTTTTTTTTTTGCAACATTTTGTTTATTTTGTTGTTAACTTTGACATTTTGCTCGACATTTGACATTCATTTAAACTATTTAACTAGAGCAACAATTGATTCGTTTAAACAAAGTGCATTTGATTCGATATAATAGAATATAATAGAATATATAATATATATAATAATCATACATAATATGCAATATAAAATTATATAAACAATAATACACATACACATACACAAGATTTATAATTCATATTCAAAATTTAACGAAGCAGGCAAATATCGGAAAATAGGCTATATAGCTACAAAACTGTATACTCTCGCAATATATATAGTAACACGACTTATTCGCGATCAACCGTATTTAGAAAGAAACGTGCGGGCAAATGGCGTAGTTAGCACCGCTTCCCTCCTCCTTCTCCTCCTCCTTCTCCTCCTTGACTCACTTGCGCAACGGATCCAAGCTCTCCAGCGAAAAGTCATCAATATTTAGCTGACTCTAAAAATCAAATTATATATATATATAGAGATTATATAGTACTGATCAATTGAATGTATGCAAAAGTCGCGACAAATCTCATTGGTCATTCGCTAAGTTAAAAATTCAAAGTTGCTGCGGAATTTGAGCCGGCGACTTCTCGCTTGCTGGTTCGACGCTCACGTACGTAAGCCAACGCTGCATACAAACTTTGATCAGCGTCATTTCCCACTTTGACGTCGAATTATTTAAAGCCTCGTCTTAGTGCTTCTTTTTTACCCTAGGAAGTTTCAATCAATCACCACAGTCAGTCGGTCATTCAATCAGTTAGTCGGTCAGTCAGTCAGTCAGTCAATCAGCCACTTAATCAATTAGGTAAGTCATGCACTCATCGTAAACACGCTCCCTTTTGACCCAAGGAAGCCTCTGTAAAGCCTTAGGGTTGGCCTGCTTATCAATCATCAGTCAGAGTATGTCAGTATGTCAGTCAGTCAGTCAGTCAGTCAGTCAGTCAGTCAGTTAGCTAGCTAAGTGTAGCCCAAGTCGCGGTAGCTTCTGTAAAGCCTCAGCTTAGGCCTGCTTATCAATCACCAATCAGAGGCAATCAATTACTCAGCCAGTCGCTCAATCAATCAGTCAATCACTCAATCAGTCACTTAGTTGAGAGTAAGCATTGCGGCGCACTCCCCTTAAACACGATCCAATGAATCTTTTATGATCCTAGCTCATCAGTCAATCAGTCAGTTAGCTAGTTCGCTCACCTTGAACACGCTGGGCCCGTTGTTCATTTCAAAGGGATCGGAGCCAAACAGATCCGTGTTGCCGTTGAGGCCATTGTTGCCGCTGTTGGACACCGAGGTGCTGCGCCGTGGTGCGGCAATCTTTGGCGGCGGTGCCACTGCAACCATTGAGAAATAATAGAAGTTACACAATTTGATTGATTGATTGACTATAATAGACAAAGAGACGTACATAGGGGCGGCGTTATGTTTAGCTCGCTGGAGAAGCCGCTGCTGTTGATGCTCAAGTTGTTGTTGTTGTTGTTGCTCAGGCTGCTGATGTTGTTGTTGTTGTTGCTGCTGTTGTTGTTGTTGTTGTTGTGCAGCTTGTGATCGTTGTTGTTGAAGAAGAGCTGCTGGCCAAAGCTCTTGGCCGGCTCGAAGCCAAACAGATCATTGCTGATCGCATTGCGTCCATTGCTAAGATTGTCCTGAATCTCATCGGCGCGCGGATCAAAATCTGAATCCGAATCCGAGTTCAAAAGCAGCTCATCCATTTTCTTGCCACCACCGCCGCCGCCGCAGCTGCTGCTGCTGCTCATCTGGCTGGACAGATTGCTGCGCGGCGGCACAATCGGCAAGAATGAATTGGGCGACGCCGAGTGCGTCGAGGCTGTCGTCGAATTGGTGTCAATCAGCAGCTTATCCTCATCTGGAAAGAGTTGACAAATATGAGCAATAGGTGGGCAGGTAGGGAATCTACAGAAGGATCCTTACCCAGCTTGCCGTTGCTGAGGGTCTCGTTGCCGTTGTGCAGCTCCTGGCTGGGCGCCTCGACAATGTCCTTGATGCCCAGCTTGTACAGCATCGCATCCAGCTCGGCCTTTGGCAATTTGGCGGACAATTCGCGCAGACGTTCCTTGTATATGGCAATCGTTTGCTGCAGATGCTCGATTTGCTGCTGCGCCTTGCTCAGATTCGTCTTCTCGGTGCTGTCCATGAATTTTCTGCAAGACCAGTTGAAGGTGAGCAAGAGGCTGGACGTAATATGCTGGGCAACCCACCTGTAGGCCAAGTCAAAGGCCTGGCCAATGGTCAGCGTTATGTCCGAGGCCAGTTTATTTGATATGAAGACGAAGCACTCGTGCGTCTCCTCCGGCTTTGAGCTGCTGCTGCCGTTGTATCCATTCGTGTCCATGGCGCCATTGTCCTTGCTCTTGACCGTCTTGGCGATGAAGCTGAAGAACTTCTTTACACCCTTCTCGTCCGCACAGTACGAGATGTTGTACAGCGGAAACTGATGCAGTATTTTGTGTGTGCGCGGCTCCTGTATGGCCACGCCCTTGATGCTTATTGTAATCTCGAGCTTCTTGAATTTCTCCTGTGTGCCCGTCTCCGCCTTCTTCATTTGCTGTGCGAATTGCAGTTTCCGGATTGCATCCTTTACAACCTCAATGCCCTTGGGCTGGTCCACGCTCAGGTTACCAAAGAACTGGCGGCAAAGAGTTAAGAATGTTAGCAATGGGTTTCGACTAGGCTATACCCTGTACTCAGCTAGCAGCTATCACAGGCAAACCACTTTTTGGCCAGTGTTGCAAGTTGTTCAACGAATAATCGAACAGCAGCTGCGTGTTATCGATAATTATCGATTTATCATTTGGAATAAACTTGAGTTCTCTCTGATATAGAGACGTGGCTAGAACTGGAACAACTGCAACATACCCTTTCTTTTTGGGCAAGCTCCATGTAAGTACAGGGTATACAGGAACAGCAGCTGCGAGTTATCGATAAATATCGGTTTATCATTTGTAGTCTCTGACAACGAGACGTGGGTAGATCTTCTCTGAGAACTTTTATGCCTCACATGTCACAACTGGCATATACCCCTTCTTTTTAGGCAAGCTCTATAAGTACAGGGTATACAGAAACAACAGCTGCGAGTTATCGATAACTATCGATTTATATATGGAAGGTAGTCTCTGACATAGATAGAGACGTGGCCAGATCTGCTCTGGGCACGTTGTTGCCTGTTGCATGAACTTGCACAACTGCAACATACCCCTTCATTTTAGGTATGCTGAGACTTATCGATAATTATCGATTAATCATTTCTAGTCTCTGATACTGAGACGTAGCTAGATCTACTATGAAAACTTTTCTGCCCGTCACGACTGCAACATACCCCTTTCTGTTTAGGCACGCTTCATAAGTACAGGGTATAGGAACTGTTGGCTTGGTCTCACCTTGACTAGATAGACCGCGTGTCCATTGATGAGCTGCTCCGGCGTGTGCAGCCAATTGCGTTTGCCGCTCTTCGAGTCGCCTTTGGAGCTGCCGCCGCTGCTGGCGGCGCCGTTGCTGGCGCTGTTGTTGCCGCTGCCGTTGCCGTTGCCAACGTGGCAATCGCTGCCGTCGCTGGCGTCCTGTTGCAGCTGCTTCTCCTGCTGCTTGTTGCTGTTCTGCTTGTTCCAGAACTTCAGCTGGGCCATTTTGGCGGCTGCTTTGCTGCCGCTGCTGCTGCCGCTGCTGTTGCCCGCTGGCTGATAAGGCATCTTTATCTATCTGTGTATCTGTGTGTATCTCTCTCTCTCTCTCTCTCTCTCTCTGTTTGTATGGGCAGCTCTGTAAAACAAGATACATTCGATTAGAAAGTTCATTCATCAATTTGTTTCGTTTCATTTGGGCGCGATTTGAACTTTGATTTGTTTGGGGCTGGGCTTTGGGCCTTGGGGTTTTTTCTTTTTTGTTCCCTTTGTCAGCTGCAAGTTAATTTGCAAAAATTCCATCGATTCCGATTGTCCCCAGACATTGCCAATTGCTAATTAACGTTTTTTCTGTTATACAACTTGCAATGAATCTGAAATGCATTCCTTGCCAGCTGTTAAGCCAATCCCCAGTGCATCTGCATCCACACACACACACACACACACACACACACACACACACACACACACACACACACACACACACACACACACACACACACACACACACACACACACACACACACACACACACTCGCACACACACATTGATCAAACCAGTTGCCCGAGCAGCCGCCAGTCGTAAGCGCTAAGCGGTAACAACCTCTGCATGATACAATATCTGTGCTGACAGTTCCGCTGGTTTTCCCTCAAATCTAGCTATTTTCTAGCTTTACAGCGTTTTCTTTAGCTTTTTTTTCTGCTGCATTCTGAACGGCGACCTTCACTGGAACTCGTTGTTTTTTTTTTTGCGCAATTGAAAACTTTACAACACTGGCTACGATCCGTCAGTCAGCTGGAGGGCAGCGCCTGACGTCACAGTGCGGCCTCCAAAGACAAAGCCAAGACAATTAAAGCCAGAGTTTCTCAGAAGTACACACACACACACACAAAGTCGGGTCTTAATAAAAATCACACCTTGCGTCCGTCGGGGACGTACCTTATGTGAGATTCTCGTGCAATTCTCACATTTCGTGCTGTTTTTTGTGTCAC